ATAAGTACCGAATTGGTCCTCCCGAAATCTTAACCAGTTCTATCATAATATATCTCCCTTAATTGATGCTAAAGAACCTCTGTAACTGAAATAGTGTTGTTAAATAATGTCTACAGTGTGTATGAACTGACTGCATATACCAGAGGTCGTATTTACACTGTTTCATCTCGGAAAACTCGTTGTTGGTGAATGGATTTTAATGAAATTAGGCATTGGGAGATTTTAAGACGAGTGTTTTAAAGGAAAATTAAATCGATTATCTCTGAAAGGTTTGAGGGTATAAAATATTTATACATAAGTAAAGTAAAAATACGGTAAGAATATTTGGCGAATGTGCCGCTTGGAGTTGGAAGCGTATCATCCGACGGAGTGACCACGCTTAGTGAATGGCCGTGCCGTACCCGCGGCACAGCCGTCAAATATCCTCACTATATAACGGTCCATTTTTATTGAGATGATTGCGTGAAACGAATAACGAACGTAATCCTTGACACTCAGAAAGTGTTAAGAGCGTCTCGATGTTTTTGGTAAGCGTTGGAACCTAAATTGACATCCATCGCCAATTTCTAGCCCGAAGTGTTTCGCAAATAGCTTAGTTAATGCCAGAATCGGACTAATCTGGCTCAGGACAGTGATCAGTGCCATCCTGTACCTTACTTAATTTACTTTGCGTAAACATTTTCCTAAGCTTCATATCTTCTCGTCAGAGTGCGCCCTGGTCTTCTGTTGTTTTTTTAAGTCATGAGAGGACCAATGAGAGTCAATCTCTGCCGGATGGTTTGACGTTCCACGTCATTTACATTTTATTTCTTTCCGGCATTGAAATCTGGCGCTGGACGGCATTTCATTCTTGGTTTAACTATCGGTATTTATTCGCTTATACAGGGTGAGTCAGAGTATGTTTACAAACTTTGCGTGCGTGTTCCACGATAAAATACGAAAATTTTTTCCTATGAACATGGGGTCGTATATGTCTCATTTTCGAAATAATAGTAAAAAATAAAAGAAAATTTTTTGAAAAAGAAGCATTTGTTTATAGGAACATTTTTTTCTTATTTTATCGTGAAATACGCACGCAAAGTTTGTAAAAATACTTCTGACTCACCCTCGTAGACTTATACTCCGTGTAGAGCATAGTTTGTTATAAAGGTTATTGGGCTTCGTTCAGGGTACAGAGTTGATCTCAGTAACAGAAGCATCCGTGGCCACACCGAATACACCAAAAGATGGCGCGGAGTCATCCATCTCGGCAGCCGAATTGCGTCTTCCAAAAGACGTGACACCGTCGCACTATCGATTGAGACTGGAGCCGTACCTGGAGGACGCTGATCCAGACGGAAAGAACTTCACGTACAACGGACACGTGTCCATCACAATCCAGTGTCACAGGACAACGAACAGAGTTTCGATCCACGCAAAGAACCTGGACATCGGAAAGGATGTCAAGGTCGCCGTGGCAGCTCCGCGAAACAGTGGCGCCACCTCTGAAACAGGTGACTACCTATGCTCCGTCAGTTTTTATGGTTTATGTGAGATTCTTATGCAGGTTTAGGTTAATTTTATACACATATTTTGGTAACGCGTTATGGATCGATTTTTTATATCATACGCACTTGCAGTTTATCGTCTGTGGATATCAGACGTCCGACACATCACAATACAACCTGATAATGAACATCAAAAATACATACTCCAGATGAAGACTGAAAATCAATAAACGCAATGCACAAATTGTACAATAGTTTTTAAAAATATATGAATTGATAAGCCTGATGATGATGATGTGGTAAAACATCGAAACATGTCGTCGAAATCAAAAGCGCTGTGATAAATGTAATATTATACGACATAGAAAAGCGCCACAATTTATATTGTAAATGTTATAAATAATTTTAACAACATTATTTTAAAACAGGTTTGTGTATAGACTGGAAAAATAAATATATGTATTAATTTTTCCATATTAACTCTAGTATCTAAAAGCGTTTTTTTTAAATTTTCAAAACCGATTTCCGAATTTTAAAAATTCATAAAAAAAACCGATTTTTAAACTCAATTTTTAAAAACCAACAAACCCTAGTTGTGACAAGGGATCACCATAACTGTCGAATTGTGACGAAGATTTACAGTACGTGACCAAACGTGACAAAGTGTGACAAAGCGTGACTAGTCGTGACGTACTGTAACGACGTGACGAATTGTGGCCGTAAGTGTCGAATCGTCACAGAAATTTTCAAAACTTTACCGAACGTAACAAATTACATAAACCTAACCTAACCTAACCTAACCTAACCTAACCTAACATAACCTAACCATTACTTTTCTAACATATTGCAATGTAGCCAAAATAACCGAACCGTACGTAACATAAGGTGGACGTGCCTAGACGTGGCATGTTGATCACGCTTGCTCAAGCGTGACATAGCGTGACTCTGCGTGACCTGTGCTCACGTCTATATTCCTCACATTTCTTGCACTGGATTTTTTTGGGGATAGGTATGAATGTGGATTTCAGCCATTCATACAGATTAATACTTAATCATTATTCCTTTATGTGACACATAATATCTGGTCTATTTTCATAAATAATATATTTCTATCCATGCAAAATAAAACGGAATGTTCTATATTAATACAATTTAAAGGCTATGTATACATCACGAGCATTTGCAGAAATTTGGAGAAATTCATCTTCATTGTAGAGGATTCTAATGGATACTTTGCAAGTCTGTAACTTGTAGTTATTTTTAGACGCTCAGTTGGCTATGGTTAAAAGGTATAAACCCAACGAAATGTATAATTTTGAACAAACAGATAATTCTGATTCATCGCCCTGATGACGGAGGCAGTATGACCTCCGAAACGTTGGTTAACATCGACCAGACTACACAGCGCAACAACCCAGAAGACAGAAATCTTAATTCTGATTTATATTTGAAGGGCACACTTTCATACCGTTAGTAATTAGCATACGTCAATACTGACTCTTAGCTGTGAGGACGCTTGCAAACACCACACCGAATCCGATTACCACGACACCTGGTGGACTGAGACGGAAACGAAGCCTCACCAGGAATCATCACCGACGTCGCCAGAGGACAGTGACTTCGACAGCACCTCCGGGCTTGCCTCCCCGTGTGACGGGATGCGTCCCGGAAGTCAGGAAAGAGATGTACGTTATCAGCGTGGAGCCATCTCTGGAGCCTGGGCTCACCTACACCCTGGACATTCCGTTCAAGGGGTTACTGAAGGAATCTTTGTACGGGTTCTACCGGAGCAGCTACAAGGACGAGAATGACACCAAAATGTATGTACCATTTCGCCTTATCGACGCCTGACACTTCAATTGATCCGTGGCTGACGTCTATTGCTGACTGGTGCGTATTTTTTGTAAATGTTCCTTCGTCTGATGATTTCATGACGCAGTGTTTCGGTAGGAACCTCTGTTCGTGTCAACATACGAGGCTGGTCTACAAAGTAAGTTTCCCTGGGGCCGTTTACAGAAACAAAACACAATTTCATGGAAATATTTATTGCAACAGATACAGCAAGTGTCCAGCTATTTTTCAACATATTCGCCACCAGAATTGAGACATTGGTCATACCGTGGGACCAACTTTTGAATACCTGGGTCGTAGAAGTCTGCCGCCTGGGATTGGAACCACTGTGTGACAACCATCTCCGCCTCTCTTTCATTCTCAAAACGCTGACGCTGACGCTGACCGGACAGGAATTTCTTGAGGTGTAGGAAAAGATGGAAATCACTGGGAGCGAGGTCCGGGCTGTAGGGTGAATGATTAAACACCTCCCAGCTGAACTCCTGCAGGAGACTTGCTGTCCGTCGAGCCGTGTGCGGCCTAGCGTTATCACTGACCGCACTTCACAGTCGGCGGGAGCTGGAATAAGAACCTCCATCTTCAACAGCTGCAACGATGCTAATGTGAGAACGCGGGAAGTGCCGTTAGTGCATGCGCCATGCTACGTCATTGCTCTATCACGCACGCACAGTCGCTTCGCGCAATATAAGGTTTGCTAGCTGTGGGACGAGTGGGAAACTTACTTTTGGGACGCGCCTCGTATAAAAGGAAACTTTCAAATCAGTCGAGACCATTTGAAAAATGGCCAAGGACCCAGGTTATATGTCGTCCAATGACGGAATTACAGCCACCTTCAGAATCGCATTTTAATTAATGAACGAAGCAAATGTCTGTAAATTTGCACCAGTTTAATGACATCTCTTCGCCAAAATCTTTTTACTGACTGTCATTATCAGTTTTTAACCTGTAGAAAATAAAGAATTATATAAATGACTATTAGACAGGAATATGTCTCTGTTCTCTCGTAACCGTTCGAGGGTGATGGATGAATTTAATACCTCAGATAAGTGTACGGGTTTTTATAGGCGCAGTCTTGAAACTTTCCGATCGCACCTCGTATCTGCCAACAAATCCAGACGACATTACAAGACAAAAGAATAACTAACATCTGCCCCCCCCCAAATAATTTAAAATTTCAGGTAAAAATGCGGTGGGATGTGGTCGTGGCCTAGTTCACGGTGAATGTGCAGATAAGCAGCTACGCTAAAGCGGCGAAGGGTATTTCTCAAATGATTGGCTCATCACTCGGCTACATAGACTGAGTTTTTTTTATATTTTCCTCAGTTGTAAGGAAAATGTCGGGGTATAATTCAAAAGGGGCAGTGTCTGCCCTCCCCAATCATAGAGGCTTTCCACTGCAGTAATTACATCCTTCTACAAGTCTCGGAGACCTTCAGCCAAATTATCCCATTGCTTATGGATTCAACCAGAATTATCGAACCAAAACCCATTTCACAGAGGAGAAATTCTTAGTGAGATCATCTCTCACCATTAATAATAACCCATTGTTTGAACAGTCAAGGCCTTCCGGTACGACGTAATTAATCATTAGCTTTAGGACATATCCATTTCTAAAATCGTTGTGGACGATGGACAAATCCCTAAATGTCAGCAATCCACATTGCAATACCATCGAGAGAAACCTTTAAAACTTTCTCTCCAGTTCAGTGGTCTGTTATAAAATATACGTCTTCTGTCTTCGGCTCCACAGTCCTTGAAGGACGTTGGCCTTATCACACATGTGAAGGACTCTTATCTCTTTCGACACCTGGTAGGATACCTTGGATGAGTGATCAGCCCGTTGCAAGGACAGCACAATAGAGAAAGACGCGGACAAACATCAATGGCTTGAGTGGGATTCGAACCCATGGTCCCAGTGACCGGACGGTTATTGTAACCGGCCGATATAACATATTAGCAAAGTTCATTAATTGAAGGCAATTTTCAATAGAAATACAGGGTGTTCGAGAAA